GAATACCAGTGCCAGGAGGTGACATCAGGAGGGCCTCAGCCTCTGTGCCTTGTTGTTAGCTCTGGAGTAACAAGTTAGCCACTGTGTGAGATAGGATGCTGGAACAGATGGACCACTGGTCTGATCCAGCAGGGCTCCTCTTATGTTCTTATGATGCTATTTAAAGACCTAGAATTGCATTCCCTGGAACAAATTTACCTGTGCAAAAGCAGGGCCAACTACCCAGTTACCATCACCTTCGAACTGTGGAAAGGAGTCTACTGAGGCATCTCAAGTAATACAGATCTGAATGGGATTAATAAAAAACCACCAAATTTGTTTTAATCTTAATCTTCCCTCTCCAACCGCCAGCTTTTTCTTGTCTTCTAGTCAGTAAGTAATATGTTAGATAATATTTGAACTTAATGAAATTCCCAAATAATTACAGCAGTGCTAATGTGATAAAATTCTATCATTCTGTTTCACCACAGAACATCTGCAGCAAGAAGCTGTTGCTTCCTGGCCCAATCCAAGGTGCTGAAACCTCCCTGAAAATTCCTGGGCAGCTTTGAACTGGTATGCCTGAGGAAGCACCTTCTATTCAAGGAGCCACTTGGTTTGATTTAAACTTATTTTATAGGCAGTGGACTTACACGTTTTTCTTCCTCAAATTATTTTTTACGAAGTTTGGTTGCCACTGCTGTCATTTTGACATTGCCTCAAGTTTCCACTGGGAAAGAGCGACAAGGTATAAATAAAAATCAGTGTGCTGACATTAATGTTTGCTCTTCCCACTTTAAAGACAGGTTAGTTGCTGGGTGTGAAGGCTTGGAGGTGCAACGTCTATATTAATTTTCACATCTTAATATAACCTTCATCTTTCTCATGAAACCAGAAAAGGGGGGGGGAGTCTGCGGTATTTTCTGACACATCAGACTACAGCAGTATAAAGAATGGACGAATTGTTGCCATGGTAACAATTCTAGTGAGAGGAAAAGATTCTGTACCATTGCTCAGCAACCAGCTAAGCTCAACACCTGATATTATTCCTTACAAATACTTTTTAAAAAACCTCCCTGGCTGTTAATCAGCTTCATTTGAATACAGACATCATTAACTGACTACTCTGTTCTGAAGCTGAAAGCAGCAGCAGGAACAATCACACCCCCTGCTTCTGTTCTGGGCACATATTCAGGTGCCTCTAAGCATCCTGAGAACTCCCCTGCTGCTTTGCACAGCTCTGTATACTTCCTTATTGCACTGTAAAGCACAGGTTTTCAAATATCATTTTTTCATTACTGATGTGCTTCCTGGCAGATCCTGCGGCGAGATAAAGTGGTATCGGAATGGCATTACTGACCATAAAATGACTGAGGCATCTGCGGAAGCAATAGGCGGCTTCAACTGGCAGTTGTGTCTCTTCAGAGCTGCATTCTACATCTTAGAGATAAGCATGGGGGGGGGGGGAATAATGTACCTTACAACCTCGTCCCTCTTACATATCTCACTTCGAGTGATATCAATTCTAGGCTTTAAAGCTGAGAGGATCTGATTCTTGATAAACAGAGTGATAAAACAGATGCATAGATCTTCTGGCAAGTTTCAAGGAAACCAATTAAAACCCTCATAAATTAGATGACCTCCAAAAATGGCTTGTCAGTATATCTAATTCCAAATGGGACCATAGTGGATGTGACTGAGAGATCTGCAGAATGGAGCCATAAACAGATGGAGGAGGTTCTCTACAAACCTGAAGGAAGTCCCACGTTTGCAGAAAATTTCAGCTCTGGAGGAGAAAAAACCAAAACTCCCCCAAATAACAGAAACTCCTGTGGACTTAAGAAAAGAATGCTCCTTGAGCTCCCAGTGACCATTTTGGAGGTTGCTAGGGAACCACAGCCCTGACCTGGATAGCCCAGGCTAGCCCAGTCTCCTCAGATCTTGGAAGCCAAGCAGTTTCCAGCCTTGGCTAATATTTGGATGGGAGACCTCCAAGGAATACCACAGTCACAATGTGGAGGCAGGCAATGGTAAACCACCTCTGTTAGGCTGCGATCACACTGGAGACTTGGTGCAATCTAGCAGGGCCTCTATTTGTGTCTGTTTAAATTGTCATGGGAAGGGGTAACCAGACAGCACACCCTGAAGTGGCCTCACTGCACACTTGCCCCATGGCCGACTGTTCAGATTATTGCTGCAGGGCAACCATGGAGTGGGTGGTCAAGTGGCTTCTTTTTTATAATTTTCTTTTGCATATGCACATAACTGTTTATTTGAAGCACCGCTCTATTTTGACAGCTCGAGGAGGCTGTCTCCCCTTCTGAAAAACTCATCTTTTCAATTAACCTTCTTCCCTACCCTGTGTGCTGCAAAGCTGTAGGCAGAGGAAGCAGCATGACAAAAGACAAAGGAGGCTTCTCAACCTGCCCTTCCCTCCCCCTTCTCGCCTCAGAGGACAGCTATAAGCTTGTTGGTGTGCATGAAAATGCAGTTTTGTGCACATCACTAACTAACTTAAAAAAAACCAAGGAACAAAAATGGATCAGAGCAATCAGACATCCCAACCGGGTTGAGCTCACACCATGGGAATTCAGACATCCAGAAATGTGAGGTGAAAGTGCTGATATCTGTAAACACCAGACTTTCCCCAGTGCCTGATTACTCCACTTCCAAAGCAGGGCACAATAGGGTGGCAACAACTGGGGCACAGAAGACAGATGTTGCTGTCTGATCGTGCTCTTTAAATCTGCAAAGGTGCGGCAATGATATCAGCCTTAGTCTCTTGCCTTAAAAACCCTACAAGGTCACCATAAATCAGCTGTGACTTGATGGCAAAAAGGGAACCATAACAATATTGCTGAGCCTTCCAAATCTGGAAGAAACGGGGGCAGATAAAGGTAGGCTAGGCAGTGGGTGGGAAGGAGAAAAGGAAGTGGGGAAAGGGATGAGGTTATGGTGCTGCCAGGGAAGGGAAAAAGGAAATAGTAGAGGAGGGGATACAAGAGAAAATCAGATGCCACCTCGTGGGTCCCCTGCTTGTTAAACATTATTGAAACACCCCCTCAGTTCTGTATGGTGCATGGTATTTTCTCCCTGTTAGTCTAGCTGGTCTCTCGGCACTGGGCACCACAGCTGCTTCTCCTCTTGGCAGTGCACCATTCCAGCTGGTCACAAGCACTGTGTGAAGGCCACACAGCCTTGGTTCTTTTGACAGCAGCCCTGATTCAGAGATGGACCTCCCGCTCTGCTGGATTCCCCCTTAACAATGAAGGTCATATATTTGCAAGACACAACTATACGGCTGCTTGTTCTTATTGTTTGTATTGTTTACTCTTGCGCCGATAAAATTATTGCAGCATGGTTCATTAAACCATTTTTATTCTGCTGCTATATATGCAGGAATCCTGGCAGCCATAAACAAAACTCTTCCCAAGCCACCCATTCTCCAAGTGATATGGCTAAACTGTATCCTTCAGTTAAGAGAACTGAAACAGCAGATAATGAAACCAGCAGCATATTTGCAAACTGCCTATAGGACAATCAAGTTTGCTGTAGCAGTGAAGAGCAAGTTGGGTGGGGGGAAAGGTGATCTATCTGTGGTTCCTCTCTCACTTAGCAAGACATGTTACCTTGGCATGTCTTACCAAAGCCTGGCTAGATCAGACAGGAGGAGTACAGCTCTCTCAGATCTGCTGCCATGTTTTTTGGTGTAGCAGTGGATAGAAACTACTATAGCATATTGGGCTTCCATCGCCTTCTCTTTGTGTTCTAGCAGTCGGAACTCCAGTTTGCTGTTTATGTACATGTTGGGAACATTGGACAACCAAGTATTCAAATCCCTGAGCCTACCCTGCTGCTTATGGTCACCCTGCATGAGATGCTGGAACTAGTGTCAGACCTGGTGTTGATCTCCCTGAGGTCACTGGGGACTAATTAGATGGGCTTGAACTCATTTAACAGGGATCAAGATTAAGAATCAAGACTTCCTGGTCTTATGAATTATTGCAAACTGTCTAAGACCCTACAAATGTAGGGCCAGTCATACACTCAGAAAGATTATCTGCACTAACTCAATATTATGTGGTTTTGAGGGAAAGTAGGCAAAGTTTCTACTGTTCCTTTGTCATAGGTCGACCATTACCTAGCGAAGGCCAGACTCATGAATACTGTTATTCGGTACCTTCTAAAATTGAAAGCTTACTCAGGGGAGGGAGGATTGATTGTATTTGCCAGAAAGCTTAGCCAATCAGCACTGTGCACAACCTTATGGACTGCACATAGGAAAAATGTTTTTTCTTCTAAGCTTGATACTGAAGAGAAGTTTGTACATTTAAACACAATGGAATGAATGCAGTTCTGCAGTGGCTCACTGCTAAAATTATGCACATTTGTTTGCACCCTTAATTCTATTCCATTTATTTTTCATTATTTCCTGTTGCTAGAGCAGAAAACAATCCAGGAAACAGCCTGCAGAAAGTCTCATGAGAGGAAAAAGGAAAGAAGTGCTCCCATATAATTAAGGCCCCTGTGATATAACTAACTAATTCCTGTATAATGTAAGAATTTTTCAGTAGCAGGGTTCTACAAAACAATAAAAACATAGACGTAAATATATTAGATAGGACTAGGGAATGAGGAATGAAATATATTCAAAGGTCTAGAGTATTATGTTCTCTTTTACAACAGTTTGAAGAGCAAATGATTTGGAAAGTCATCGCTTAAGCGATCATCTGAGAAAATTAAACCTCTATTCTGCTGCCAGCTGACTAATAAAGTCATTTATAATGTGGCTATATTGTGCTTTAATTATGACTTCCAGCTATAGAGTATTTATTTCTATGGCCACTAGCTTCTCAACATCTAGCATCCTAGCATCTTGCTAATGATGGCTCCACAGTCTCAAGCAACAATCTTGCCACAAGCAACCTATTTTATATTGGCTCTGAAAATCTAGATTAGCTCTTATAGGATTCTGGCAGATAACCTTAAAAAAAATCTCGAGTACTATCTTGACAACTTACATTTGAACACTTTTCTAACACTTCTTTCTTGAATTGTAGAAACTTTTCCTGTATCACAGGTTGGTTGAGTGCAAATGACAGAAAGTGCGTGAAAGGTTGTTTCTTGCGAAAGCTCTCGACAAGAACATCAATCCGGGTTCGAGCTGAAATAACACCATTCCGGTGTTGTCCGGTAATCACTGAAAGAAAAACAAATCAACAGATCTTAGCACAGTTATCTACAATCAGAACAGGATCTGCCATGTGTGCACACAAAGAATTAAGAACAGGGGTTGATTTTCCACTCTACCTATAAACCAATTTCTAACAAGGTAGCAGCTTCTTCCACAGAATATTAAGATCAATTTCACCATGAAACCAGGATTCTTCAAGTGTGAAATGGGCTTCCATGCAGAAGAATATAAATATTGTCAAGAAAACAGAAGAGCTACTGGATGATCCTTCCACCAATTCACAGTTCTGAGCACAAAAGGCACATATCTACCCTATTCACATTAATCTACAGGTAACTCTGAGAGCTAATTTCTTTTGCTTCAAGTTCTTAAAGCGCAGCAAAGGCAAAATGATCTGATGCTTGAATTCCACTATTTTACATTGCACATGCCTTTTAATATTTGATTTTTACAAAGGATATCACAGCTATATAATGCCCTTGAACATACTGGGTGGCTGGTATTAAAAGGAAAGAAATGACATTTTCCAATAGAAATGCTGCTTCTAATATGAGATAATTTAGTTGTTCATGAATATTAATGTATTACTAGATGCCAATTCTTAACATTCTTTTTCTACTTCTTGCTCATGCATTTAGAGAGTAATCCTAAACAGGTCTACTCAGAATCCTACTGTTCAGTGCGACTTAATCCCAGGAAAGCATTATTAGGATTGCATTATGGATTACCCTGATGCATATTGTATTTACTGGTACTTTATCCGGTTGATAATCTTAGTTACTGAATATACTGAATGTCTTTCCTTTTCCCTTTCACCCATACTATAATAGATCAATTAATTCTATTTTCTTTGTATACATGCACAAATTTTGATTTTATGTTCTAAGTATTATTTCATATTTTGTCTCTCATTTTATCGGTATGATGTCATTGTTATTTTTATTATTATACAAATTGTTGTGCATTTTAATGAAAAAGTAATGTACACGTTTTTAAATGAAAACTCCATTTACTTAAATAGCAATAGTTAAGGGGCAAAACAACTGGATAGCAAGTATTCAGTCATATTTGGATAGTAAGTATTCAATTATATCTGCTTTAAAAAAACAACTCATCATGCAAGCTCTTGGTACCAGATTTGTACAGCTGTGCAAAGCATATCAGAAAATGGCAACCCTCTCACAAGAGGAAGAATATGAGAATGACATTAGTTTCATGGGATCTTTGTTCAGATGCTTTTTGGCACTGCTAAGAGTAGATGTGAAGAAATCTGACTTTATCCTTCCTGGATGGATTTCAAGTGTGTTCATACTGTGCTGCTATCTAAGCATCTAATGAAAACCTACTGGACAGCTGTTTTCCAATCTCAGTATTTAAGTGCAAGGAATACCTCAAAGGGCAGTAGTTGCCTGGAGCTGTAGGAAGGGGGAAGGCAGGCATAGGATAACTATGTCCCAGAGTTTCAGGTTATATATAAGGAGGGAGCAGCCAGGAAAGGGTAAGAGACATAATAAAGGAGTAAGCATAGGGGCTAGAGCTCATGACTGTAAAAGCGGACACACAAAGAATTCTGAAGAGATGAAGCAGGTGGATTACTGAATATAGGAATGAATAAAAAAAGGCTCAATAAGAAAAGTATATGGGGGGGAGAGTGAAAAAGCAGGTTGCTTACCAGCAACTGGTGATCTTCGAGTGGTCATCTGTGAATTCACACCCATGGGATCTAGTGCGCACGTGCTGGATCGATCGGTGCTGTAGCAAGCTCTTTTAACGGATTTTCACGCCCAGTCCCTTGGGCATGTGCAGGAACCCCACCGCGCATGCCCAGAGGGGTGGGTGCAGACATCCCACCAGTTCCTATAAACCGCTGCAAATCAACCCCTAATAAAAATGTAGAAGCTGACAGCAGCGAGGAAGGAGGGCGGGTGGTGTGAATGCACAGATGACCACTCGAAAATCACCAGTTACTGGTAAGCAACCTGCTTCGACGTGGTCTCTGTGCTTCACACCCATGGGAGATTAGCGAGCAGTAGCCTACCTGGAGGAGGGTGCTGGCAGGTCTTTTACTGCGTAGCCGAAGACAGAATGTGACGTCCCATGTTGGTATTGGCGTTGTTACAGACGTCTAGGGCGTAGTGCCTAATGAAGGTTTTAGGCGTGGCCCACGTAGTGGCTTTGCAAATGTCTGTCAGGGGCACTCCCTGGAGGAAGGCAGTGGAAGTCGCGACAGCCCTGGTAGAATGACCCCTGATAGGGTCAGGCAATGGCTGTTTGGGGATCCGGTAACACAGATGGATGAGACCCACAATCCACTTTGACAGGTGCTGGGCCGTGATGCGAGTGCCCAGACGTGCTGAAGCGTACGAGACGAAAAGTTGTGAGTCCCGCCTAGTTGGGTGTGTTCTATTGAGATAGAACAGGAGAGGGAGGAAGACCTCCGCCTGCAGGTGGAACTCTGACACCACCTTCGGCAGGAAGGAGATGTCTGGGACGAGGCGGACTCCGTCTGGCAGAAACGACAGGTAAGGTGTATCGTGCCGGAAAGCCAATATTTCTCCAACTCGCCTTGCCGATGTGATAGCAATTAAAAAGGCCGTTTTCCATGCGAGGAGTTTGAGCAAGGGGTTCAAAGGGCTTCCTCGTGAGCTGGCGTAGAACTAGAGGAAGGTCCCAGGGAGCGACTGAAATTTTAACAGGAGGATAGAGGTGTAACAAACCTTTTAAAAATCATTTGGAAATCGGATGAGAAAACAAAGTACATCCGTCAACTGGAACATGGTAGGCCGAGAGAGCTACCAAATAAACTCTTAATGATGAATGGGAAAGTCCCGAGTCAGCCAAGGAGAGGAGGAATCGGAAAACTCTTTCAAGACCCACTGAGGTGGCTCGAGGGGCGTCATCACCTAGGGAAGAACAGAACCTTTGTCATTTATCATTGTAAGACCACCGCGTAGTAGGCTTCCTGGAATTCAAGAGGACGTTCACTACGCGGGAGGAGAAGCCGGTGATGTTATCTGCCATGCCGTCAGTTTCAATTGCGGTATGTCGTGATGTAGGACGGGGGAGTCGAAGAGAAGGAGGAGGTCCTGAGCCGGAGGGAACGGATAGTATATCACCTGTGGTAACTCGAGGACCGTTGAAAACCAAGGTTGTCTCGGCCACCATGGGGTTATTAAGATAAAGTCTGTGGCGTCTTTGAGTACTTTGCGGACCACTCTCAGAAGCAGAGGTAAGGGGGGGAACAGGTAAAGAAGTCCCGAGGACCAAGGGTAAAGGAGACCGTCTCCCAGAGACTGTGTATCCTTGCCACCTCGACTGCAGAACAGAGGACACTTTTTGTTGTTTCTGTTTGCAATGACATCGACTTGGGGAACTCCCCACTTTTGGAAGAGTGGGAGGAGGTATGTTGGGTTCATTCCCCACTCGTGAATGCTGAGTCCTGCTCGACTTAGATGGGCTGCCTGCACGTTCATGTGTCCGGGAATGTGAGTGGCTATGAGGAATATGTTGTTGGCGATGCAAAGCTCCCACAACTGAATGGCAAGGGTGCAGAGTCGTAGGGAAACAGTGCCTCCCTGTCTGTTGACATAAGAGAGCGCTGTGGTGTTTTCTGTGAGGACCGTGACACATTTTCATTTGACTGGTGACAGCGTGTTGTATAGAGAGGAGTTCTAGAAAGTTTATGTGCCGCTTCCTCATCTGTGTGTTCCACTTGTCTCCAACAGAGAGGCCCATGGAGTGTGCACCCCATCCCGTCAGGGAACAATCCGTCGTAATGGTGACATCGGGTGACGGAGGGTGGAAGGGCACTCCCTGAAGGATATTCAAAGAGACAGTCCACCAGAGTCCCATATGCTGGGAAGAGGGGATAGGACGACAGTGTGTGCGTTTTCCGACTGGTCGTAGTTGTGGATGAACCAGAGTTGTAAAGGACGCATTTTGAATCTGGCGAAGACGAGAACTGACGTAATAGCCTCTGAATTTGGAAGGCAGTGACGGAGGGTTGGGTACGGACGATGGTGGCTAGGGAAATGATATCTTCTGCCCTGTCGTGTGGCAGGTAAGCCATGCATGTCGTTGAATCCAGTATTGCGCCGATGTATTGTATTCTCTGGACCGAATACAAGTGAGACTTTTGTTGATTGACTCGCAGACCCAGGTTGTCCAGTAGAGCCAGGGTCTGCATGATGTTTGAGACCATGGCATTCTTGGGCGGCGCTACCAGAAGCCAATCGTCTATATACGGGTAGATGGAAACTCCCCAGAGACGGAGGAAAGCTGTAACCACAATCATAGTCTTTGTGAAGACCCTTGGGGTGCTGGATAGGCCGAATGGAAGGGCCGTATATTGGTAGTGCTGTTGACCAATCGCAAAGCGTAGGTATTGGCGGTGGAAGGGGTGGATAGTAAGGTGGAAATATGCGTCTTGGAGGTCGAGGGTGGCCATCCAGACGTGTCTCTGAAGCAATGGCATGATCTTGTAGAGTAGAATCAGTGGTAGCGTTGAAAAGCCCCAGGCCATCGAAAGGGAGATCTTCCACATAAGATCTAGTATCTATCGGTAGGTTGCGGAGCCGGGAATGTCTTCTGAGAGCTATTGCAGAGGGGTGGAAGGATCGACTATAGGAGGATGCGACAGAGATGCTGAAGGTCTTGACTTGTGGGGCGATCTTGACCTATAAACAGAGTGGGACGAATAGCGATCCCAACCGGAATAGCCCGCCGGAGTCAACCACGGCATGGATGGTGGATAAGCCCCGTACAGGTACCTCAACTGTCGTTGATCCCACGATATTGGTGGGGGGGCAGGAAGATTCTTGGGGAGCGACTTCTGGACCACAGATGTCTGGGAGACAAAGCAGCAGCCCATCTGTGAGAGCCGTCCCTGTAGTCCCGGTCGTCGATATCGACAGAATGATCGTGCAGACGTGGAGGGTGACGCTGCGTGTCACATGAAGTATATCGGTGCCGATGTGGATCGATTTCGGGAGCTTCCGATACCGTTGATGTCGACGACAGGGAAGGAGACAGAGAAGGGTCTGCATCCATTTGATGACTTAGGAGCTCTACCGTTTCGATGTCGGAGTAAGGACGCTCCGTTTGGTGGACAGGGGAGTCCAAAACATGGATGGCCGGTATCGGTGGAGGGACTTGGGCCGCCGATATCGATACTGCCATTGGAGCGGGAGGCACTTTAGGGGCATCACCCAGTGCAGACACCGCTCCCTTCCCCTTCTTTGCCGCCTTCAGCGGCTTGGCGGTGCCGCCTTAGCCTTCTTTTTGACTGGCTTGGAAGTGGATGATTGTGCCTTCAATGTCGGGAGCTTCGGCGTCAGGCGGTCGGCATCGGTCTCGATGCCGGAGCTGTTGATGTAGACGGTCTCTCCTCCATCGATAATGCAGGAGCAAGGGCCGATTCAAGCAGCGCCACTTTAAGGCGCGCAGCACGTTTTTTTCTCGTTTGGTTGGAGAAACGCGCACAGTGACGACAGGACTCTGGCTTGTGAGACTCTCCGAGGCAAAAAATGCAGAGGGTATGACGGTCGGGTGGAGCAAGTTTGCTACCGCAACCCTTGCACCTATTTAAAAAATCCCCACTTCTTCTCCATACAAGAAAAGAAGGAAAGGGAACGTTGGGGGGGGGGGTAGCCCGAAGGCCTGAGGTAAACTCCCCCTCAGTAGAAAGCAAAAAAAAATATTTTTAACTGTTTTTGAAGAAGAAGCAACCAAAAATTAAAGTAAAAGAAAGTTTGGAAATAATTCCTAAGAGCTGTGTGGCGAAAGCTAACAGCGAACCAATCGGACCGACGAAGAAGAGGTCTACTCAACGCGGCGGTAAGAAAGGAACTGGCGGGATGTCCACGCCCACCCCTCTGGGCATGCACAGTGGGGTTCCTGTGCATGCCCGAGGGACTGGGCGCGAAAATCCGTTAAAAGAGCTTGCTACAGCACTGATCGATCCAGCGCGTGAGCACTAGATCCCATGGGTGTGAAGCACAGAGACCACGTCGAAGATGAAGCAGTGATATAATAAGCATAGTCCGAAAGTACTGCAGCATTCTGCAATGAAGACATCATACCACCTGCCTCCTCCAATATTCAGTGGCACAGATATCTAATTTCATATCTGACAGTCATTCAATCCAAACAGTACCGTTGTCCACCTCTTAATTTTCCATAATCTCAGCCCTGCGCATAAAAAGTAAATTCATTTTTATAAACATCAGAGCTCACCAATCTCTCCCTCTGCTCCAGGCTTAGGAATACTGATAGAGGTTCGGGTATCCATTTCTAGTCTCTTTTTTGTTTCTCCTTTCTTTCCTATTATATACCTATATCCACAGGAAGAAGGGAAAAAAGAATCACAGATCAAAGTGCAAACAAATGATTGTCAGTCCAGACATCATGAAGTAAATATTCTGCCCACTTAGGGTTGACAACTCGAGGTTGTGAAATTCCTGGAGATTTTGGGGGTGGAGACTAGGGAGAACAGGTTTTGGGGAGTCAGCAGGGTATCATGCCATACCGTCCGCCCTCCAAAGCAGCCATTTTCTCCAGGGGAACTGTTCTATGTTGCCTGGAGATCATCTGGAATTCTGAGAGATCTCCAAAGTCCAGACCCCTTCTGGAGGCTGGCAACCCTATGAAAACTTGAAATACTACAGTCTTAACACAGACACAACATTCTTAATAATTGTGGCATAGAATATTTCCTGCAATGGTACTATGATGTGAAGTTCCAGGTCTGGAAATAAATTTGAACCAAATTTGCTCATTGTAGTTGCCATAAACCAATGGGTACCATCTAGTACACAGACTGGGAACTCCAGGCCTTTTTCCCCGCTACCCTTTAAGTACTCTGTAATAATGGCAGGAAGAAAATGCAGAAACAAAGAGCGCTGCCATTGGTTAAAACTTTGTTTTCTGTATTTCCTTTACACCCTGCCTTTCTCCCTAAGAGGAATCAAAGCAACCTACAGTGTCCTCCTCTACTCCATTTTATCATCAGGTGGGCTAGGCTGAGAGTGTGTTACTGGCCCAAGGCCATCCAGCAAGCTTCCAGGGCACAGTACATGGGGGCTTGCTGTGTATCCCACTACAGAAGTACATACAAAGACATAGAGCTGCAGATTGGAGCAGTGAGAAGCAGGTCAGAAGGCAAAAATTTCAGTAGGGTGGGAGATAACAGAAAGTATGCTATGTAATAGGCTATGTAAAGGCCCTGTTGCTGGACCACTCATCTTTCTAACAACACTGAGACCTTTTTCTAATTGTCCTTCTAGGATACTTTAATAATTGACTCTGGCTGCAGTCACACGGGCAGGAAACTGCGGGGGGGGGGAGCGTGGCTATTAGCCCCGGGGCAAAATACCTCGTGGCAGCAGGATCAGACGACCCGGCGAGGTCCCGGCGAGGTCCTGTGGTTAAGGTGGAGGTGCCGATCACACGAGCATCCGCACCTCCACCGAGAGCATCCGGCCGATTGGAAGGGGATGGAACGGGCCGTGCACAGCCCACT